CCCTGGCAGAGGATGTAATAAAGCGGCTCAGCCGCCGCTTAGCGCTGTTGTTCATCATTTATCCATTATTATTAGTTTGAGAAAGTTCGGCGAGCCGGCTTCTTAAGCCAGGCAAAATATAATTACCTATTTCCGGCACATCACGTAGGCGCTCGAAACCGTCGAGAATAAATGTCGAGACGCCCGCATCAACGTAATCGAGTAACGCTTGTATAAGGGTCTCTGGCGATCCGACCAGTGCAGACGACTTGCCGCGCTGCGTAATGCCGGAAAGTCCGGTCCATAGCGCGCGATCGTGGCGCTCACTGTGCTGATTGGCTGCTACCTGTTTTAGATCCCCGGCGCTACTTTCGCGCGTATCGCGGAAGGGAAGTGTGCACGGTTCAGTCGGCTTTGGATGCTGGGTCTGCGCCAGTGCGGTTTCGCGCATTGCTTCCGCGCGCTGCCATGCCAGCTCATCGGTTTGGCCAATGATCAGCCGCACTAACACAATGATGCGCGGCCGATCGCTGCGGCCGCTGGCTTCGGCGGCGGCATGAATGCGCGCGATATCCTGCCGTAAATTAGCCAGCGGTTGTGCATATAAGGCATAGCCATCGGCTTCAGTTGCACCAACGGCGTAAGCTTCATCAGAATTTCCGGCGAAATAGACCGGAATGCGCGGTTGCTGCACGGGAAATACCCGTGCGACAAAATCATGTACCTGATAAAACTCGCCGTGGTAATCAAACCTTTCGCGCGCCGTCCAGGTTTGCTTCAGCAGCTGAATGAATTCACGCGTTCTGCCGTAGCGCTGGCCTTTGGTCAATGCATCGCCGGTATTCTTCAGGCCGTCGTTATCACGTCCGGAAATGGCGTGCAGCCTGATGCGTCCCTGCGCGAACTGATCGAGCGTTGCATAACTTCTGGCCACCAGCGTCGGCGAGGCGAGTCCGGGCCGATAAGCCACCAGAAAATTGAGTTTTTTCGTGTGCGCTACGGCTTGCGCCGCAATTTGCAAACTCTCCGGACCGTCGCCGCCTAATCCCACCAGCACGCCATCGAAGCCAGCATATTCGTGCTCTCTGGCCTGGCGAATGATGTACTCGATATCCAGATTTGCCGCGCTCGTCTGGTGAATTTCAGACTCATCGCTGAAAGTCAGGTGGCCAAAAATTTCAACGCTCATAG